TCTCTGTTTGACTTATTTCACTCAACATAATACCCTCCAGTTCCATCCACGTCGTTGCAAATGGCAAGATCTCATTCCTTTTGATGGCTGCATAATATTTCATTGTATATATATACCTCATCTTCTTTATCCATTCATCTGTCGATGGACATCTTGGCTCTTTCCACAGTTTGGCTATTTCCACCATGGAATTCTTGTGGACTCCCTTTATAGCACCTTGTAATGGGGAGGGTGGGTGATCCAGGGAACACAGTTTTTGGAAAACTAGATTTAGAATGCATCCATCATGTACACCTTTTGTCTTACATTTTCCAACAGAAATTGTTTCAGTTAATTGGTGGAGATTTGCTTGCCACCCAGAGCACCCTCCTTTTTGGAGGTTGGTGCCCAGAGAATTGGGGTTTCTTTAGCTTATTTTAACCATGTTCATGGTTTCAATTTATATATGGTGTCCAAATCTTCCACATCTGCTGGAGAAAATCTCCAAATTACTTCTGCACATGTAAATTCGAATGTCCCTCAGTCATTTCCAATGTTGCATGCCCTAAACTGGGCTCACAGTCCTTCCTCTCCGGACCCACCCCCCTCCTACATTCCCTAGCTTACTAAGGAAAGAATGGCAAACCTTTCCATCCAGTGCCAAAGTCATATCTGGATATTGGAAGGCATCCAACCAGTGGCTCGATCTGCAGATTCTTTCTTAAAACTCCTGCCTTCTCTCTCTTCCAGATACTATTACCTAGGGCTTGGCTGTCATCCTCCTTTTCTGAATTGGTGTCAGTAGCCACCCTTTACCCCCCTCTTCTGATTTTTGCTCCCCTACAAGCCATTCTCACAAAACAGGTAGTTACATCTTTTTTTTTTATTTTTTTTTTAAAGATTTTATTTATTTATTTGGCAGAGAGAGACACATGGAGAGAGGGAACACAAGCAGGGGGAGAGGGAGAGGGAGAAGCAGACTCCCCACTGAGTAGGGAGTCCAACGTGGGGCTTGATCCCAGGACT